CAATCGCACGCGAGGTGGTCGTTGTGCCTCAGAGGTTTGCTTGAGAGGCTCAACCCGGAGCCTTTGGCCCAATAGCCTGACCCACAAGGCAGTGGGTGGTTTGCAGATTTGCTTGTGGGACTCCACCCGGAGCCTTTGGCTCAATAGCCCGACCCAGGAGGCAGTGGGAAGTAGATCTGGCTCAGTAAGTTACTTGCGGAGACAGATTAGGATCTGCTTGACGGCCGTCACACGCAACCTTGGAGGTACTGGAACAATTCCTAGTTTTTCGACCTTAGTAGGATGCGCACCTGCGACCACGGCCATAGGCAGGAGAGCTTTGGCTGGTTTGCACCAATTCGATAATGGACTGCCTGGCTGTAGGTGGGCAGTAACAAACCATTGAACACCCGGAGATGCCCTCCCACCGTCAGAGAAAGTGCGTGGCGCTCGTGCTCCACGCCAATCGAGCTGTGAGCTTATAACCCGTAGACCTGTTGTCTCCCATGGCTAGGTTTTACAGGAAGAGGGCCATCGACCACTTCTTAAACTCCGAAGAGGATGGCCTAGGAGACTGGCAGAGCGCCCACTCCTGACAGGAGAACGACTCGGTTCCTCAGCCAAGGCCTTCGATTAAAGGTACACCCGCAATGCAGCGGGTCTAGCACATGGTCAGTTCACTGACACATGCGGACTGGTGTCCTGGAGCTTAGCAAGGAGAAGGACGAAATCCAACTCCCACCCAGGGATCGCCACTGCGAGGCGCCCAGAACATGAGCAACTGGCACAACAGTAGCAGTAGTAGTAGTAGTAGTAGTAGTAGTAGTAGTAGTAGTAGTAGTAGTAGTAGTAGTGGGTAGACCATCCATCAGAATCTAGCCACCACCAGTCTCATCGCACTATAGGCTCTCCCGCCATACATATATATATTCCCTTTTATCCCTCTATTTTCAATCCCTTAGTTCTTGGCCCTCACCACCTTGCTTCAATATTTGCTTGTCTTCTAGTTTTGACTCACACACCGTCGCACGGTATCGCTCCAATTCAGTCAAAAAGTCCATCTTCAACCAAGCGGACAACGTCAGTTCATCCGTTTCCCTTTGGAGTCCGCGAGTCTCGCTAAGACTGACATGCCTCACCGTGCGCACTTTGCTACAGAGAGGCCAGCAAACGGCACTTGCGCGCACACTATACCATTTCGCAGCCCAGTTGTCCCCTTGGGCAACAGAAATAATCTGAGGGGGCATTCCACATGAGTCTACTCAATTAATTTGTTCCGTGCGTACGCCAGTCACTTGTGCAGCTGTGTAGGTGTGCGTGTATAGCCCCTCGCCTTCAGCCAATTGGACCTCAGACGCACTAAATCATAGGGGTGCAGGTGGGACGCTTCAGCACGTATGCAGGGAACAAATAAATTGAGGAGACTCATGTTGAATGCCCCTCAGATTATTTCCGTTGCCCAAGAGGGCAACTTCACCGGGAAATGGTGTAGAGACCCTATTGATCGATATTTACCGTTTATCAAAAACCAGCCTGCGAGAATCGAGCTCCGTGCTTACCCTGTGATCTCCCACCTGCGACACTGGCGGCACATTCTCATTGCGCCTGTCTGGCGGCGACGCAGCTTCAAATGCGGGTCAAGCAGGGCTGAAGCTGCCCTGATCGACTGAATCACAGTCAACAGTCGGATGTGCGCCGTTAGATTAGCTGGTTCGTTCCAGGTTACGAAGTCGCGCGAGAACAAACGGTGCCTGTTTGTCACTGCGGCCTACGCCCCTACAAACCGTTGCACTGATTCAGTGAAAGATGAGTTCTATCAGCAACTTCATGATCTACTTCGTTACAGAAGAAGCACCGATACTGTGGTGTTCGCTGGCCATCTAAAAGCACAAGTCGGAAAATCGTCCTCTTTTGAGCTTCATTTGGGGGCCAACATGGTTTAGGCTCCCGTAATAATTACGGTGAGCGATGGCTACACCTGTGTGAAGATGCTCGTCTCTTTCTTGCAAGCACAAACTCTCGAATTAGCACCCGCAGAAGCGCGACTTGGCGCCCACCAGCCTCGGGCCAGCCATGAACGCTAATCGATCACAACGTGATAGTTGCCGCTGGAGCGGCTGTGTCCAAAACTGTCGCTCGATTTGGAGCACGAGCGTGGACTCTGACTACGCACTTGTCGGCGCCGACCTGCGGGTAGGTTTCGGTGGACGTCCGCAACGTCGAGTTGAAGGGATTGACGCCAGCCAGCTGGCGAATCCAGTTGTTCTGAATATGTATCAAAGTGCGCTGACATCTGGGCTGAGTATTCGCCCACTGAACACCGTCGAAGATCACTGGATGCATATTCGCCAAACGTTACTATCCGCAGGCACGTCTCCCTGTGGCAAATAAAATTGCCAAGCTGGACATTGGGTCTCAAAAGGTCTCTGGAATGATGGTCTCTGGATGAACGCCGACGTGTTCAAGCTGCATGCGAATACTATGAGGCTCGCAAAATTCTCAGGGCAAAACTGCGTGCTAGCCTGAACAAAGACAGCGAAGCCTGATGGTCTCATCGTTTATCGGAAACGTAAACAGCCGCTGCCGTTGGTAATTATCGTAAGTTATTTCGTCTGTACGGGCAACAGGCAGCAGGGGACCTGGTGTTAGCGAGACTATACAGAAGAGAGTGGGTAGCCGATTCACAGACTGTCAAAACGCTTGGAACTTTGGGCCGAACACTTTGCAAGGCAATTTAACCAACCTGAGTTATCGCTTCCTTTTTCGGGCATTGAGCGCCCTTTTCTCTGGGACGTCTCTTTGCATCCGCCCTCACGCGCAGAAGTCGAAGATGAGATCAGGCTGTTGAAATTTCAGAAGGCCACAGGAGCAGATAGAATTTACCCAACCCACTTTAAATTCGGGGGACCTGCTTTAGTAAATCGTTTACACGAATTGCTAGTGAAACATTGAGAGCAGGAGACTGTCCCGACAGATTAGAGCCGCTCCGTCATAGTCCCAATTTGCAATAGAGGTTCCCGTTCGGAATGCAGCCATCATAGAGAGAGTACTCAGTTCTCAATCGTCTCTAAAGTGTTTGCGTCTGTCGTTCTTCACAGACCGACTGGCACTCATAAAACCCAGATCCGTGAAGAGCAAGACGTATTTCGTCGAGGTCGGGACTGCCTCGACCACATGTTTACTTTTCGTCAATAGTTGGAGCATGGCCACGTTTATTGGCGACCCACCGTTGTCATGTTTCGTGACATAAAAGGTGCCTTCGACTCAGTCGATCGATGTGCCCTTTGGGACTGTCTGCTGAGGAAAGCTGTACTTGATAACTACGTAAACATTATCAAAGCGCTGTATACGCAAGTTCGGGCAGAGTGAGGGCTTATGGCAAACTGTCGCCACCCTTCAGTATCACCAGCGGTGTGAGACAAGATTGTCCGCTGTTACCTTTCCTATTTAACTTCGTAGTTGACGAAGTTATGGTGGACAAGACCTAGAAGGTATGGAGCTACTTCCTGGTGAGCGACTTATTTACTTGGAGCACGAAGACTATATTGCCCTAATCTGTGACAGCTCCGAAACATGTCAAGCAGCACTGGACCGATTAACACTGGCAGTCTATCGTTTTGGGCTATGCTTTGCACCATCGAAATGCAAGGTATTTCTGCAAGATTGACAGGGACCCATCCATGTGCTAACGCTATGTGGTGAGCTGTTAGAAGTCCCTCAAGAATTCAAGTACCTGGGCAGCTATATTAGCGCCTGTGTGATCACAGATGAGGTTACGGACAGTATAGCAAAAGCGCGAGGTGTTTATACCAATCTCCGTCACCTGTGGCGCAGACGGGACATTACTCTCTCCCTGAAGTGCAGATTTTATAACGCAGCCGTCCGTTCAACTCTCCTGTATGGTTGTGAAACCTGGCCCATGAGGTCAACAGATATAAAGTGGCCCGTCACATTCAATCATCGTTGCATTCGCAGCTTAGTTCATGTCTGGTGGGGCCACAGCGTGAGAAATGAGCGTGTTCGGCGTCGCGCATTTGATGCAGGAAGAGCGAGTGAATCGCTCAGAACCATTATATCATGCAAAAGGCTCCGATGGTTTGGACACGTGTTGCGCATGTCAGCACACCGACTCCAGTGACGTGCATTGTTTGCGCGCCGGGAGTGCGGTTGGAAGAGGAGAAGGGGAGACCAAACGACGACTTGCTCGAGAGGAATGAAAACCCTTACTTCGAGGTTGGCGTCGGCTGGTGCATCCCGACTGCCTGGCTGGGGTCCTAAGGACGATGAACACGTTTTGTTGAACACACTTGCTGGTATGGCTAGGAGCCGACCCCAATGGTGTTTGTGTTGTGTGTTCCTTTGTCTATCCCCCTCCCTCTTAGCTTCCCCTCCAATGACGTTCACATTTGTAAGGCTTAATATAACTCTCTTTTGCAGCACGACAGCCTACTTTAAGTCTCCGGCTTGCCACTGTTTTTTTCTTCTCCTTGTCTTTTGTATGGCGGCACAATAGCTGAAGTGATTTCCACCTTCAGCTAACGTGTATGATGAATGAATGAATGACGCTTCCAATCCGGCTTCATTTTACCAGCGATGACGGCTGTGAACACTGTTCTGTTGTCATACAACACTGGGTATGGAATGGTTTGTAGGTCAGTATGATGTGTTTCCCTATCGGCTTATCACACTGATTTTTGATCCCTGAAGAGCCAGTTGAGCTTAACAAGGAACACATCTGTTTAAAACTGTCTAACTGTAATCTAGACATATGATACTCTTCAACATTCCATTTCTCAGAACAAGATGAGTACCAAATAGCATGCATTAAACGATCTATGATTAACATGGGTCATAAAATCCACAGTCGCTGCAAAATCAAACTTTGCAAAATACTCACAATGTTTGTCCTTGAGAGTTTCAGCTTTACCTATGGGAACATCCGTATACGCGACAGGAAGGCTCTAGAAAACCTGCAGAGATCATTCACTAAATGTTGGTTCAGTAAATCGTCCACCTTATGCTATCAGCAGCGTTGTCAGCCGCTTAAGCTCGAGCCTCTCCAGCTGCGATGACTGAAACAACCTAATGCCCGCATACAATCGCATAAACCAAATGACACACTCCAGTAGGTGTGCACTAAAATTTTTACATAACTTCACCCGGAATATTCGCAACAATACTTGTAGACTAATTGTGCCAAGAACCAGGAGAGCTAATCGTTCTAACTTCTTCCTCGTCAGATACCTTGTTGTATGGAAAAGCCTACGATCCACTACCAAATGCTGCACAAATGCAAGAACGTTCCGCATTAAACTTGAGATCTCCCATACCAGTAATCAATAATGACCATGTTTTCATCAGGCAACTCATCAAATGAGTTATTCCAGAATGGACCAAGTAATATAGAACCAATAAGCAAAGATACTGCGCCAACAAAAGCCGCATTTCTAACTGCTGTCATGACCCAGACGCGGATGAATACCTACTCACTCATGCATGAACAAGACCACTGCTATAATAATGATCTGTCCCTAATCCATGTACAGCATCCCACAATCGTGAAGTATAGGCATTAGTATTATCATTATCATTATTATTATTACTAACCGCCACAGGACGCCTATGTCCCCAGAGGGACCAAGGCTGGCTTGCACCACGCCACCCACGGCTCCATTCACACACCCCTTATGCACTGTAGACCAGAAGGAATAAGATTGGGAGGTATTTAGATAGGAGACACAATCGATTTGAACTCAGTGCACACTGCTTCAGCATGCACATAACTCAATTTAGCGGATGGAAAAATGCATGCCATCCCTATACACAGGGATGGCTGGGCTGTAGCCTGTTTCACATTAGATGTTACAAATTTTTGAGCATAACACCATCACTAGGACTGTGCATCTGTCACTTCAGCAATACATATATATATATATATATATATATATATATTGCTTGGCCTGACTACGAATCACCGGAAATGAGCTTGTTTGCCAATCTGCTTATCACTAACGAAAAGGGGAATTTGTCACCATTACACGGCAGTTGACTCAACAGCCTTGTGTTATCCGACGCTCTCACCCAAGTTATCAATCACACAAATCAATTTCGATACCAAACAACTCGAGATTCGAACCATACAGTAAGTGAGTTATGTTGCTTTACCACTTTATAGTAACATCAGGAACGCCACAGCTACTTAGATGCTGTCAATTATCCAACATTGCAGCGAACTTATGTAGCATATCACGAAGCGTTTGGTTGCCGACTAACACTTTGTCTTTTTCTGTTTTAGAACCACTGGCACACAAATTCCGAAGCGACCATTTAAGGCAACAGAAGACCGAGGATTGCACGGACAACTAGTGTTGTTTGACCCACCCCTTCTTCCCTCGGTTTCCCCTGACGTGACCTTGACTGTAACCTAACTACTGGTTTCCTCCCGCGCGCAACTGTTCCCCGTTCTTCTTGTGTGTGAGGACGGGTGTTCCCCTCTGTCTCTGTTGCGGATGTTTTTTTCGTAATTGTTCCTTCTTCCCACCAACACAGTGGAATAAAGCTTCTACTGGTTAGTGGTTCTCATTTGCGTGTGAACTCACAGTTTGGCCTCCACGTCTATTACATATTTGGCGACCCTGCTAGGATTGACAACAAGAATTACCGCTTTCCTTATACAATGAAAATCATGCCGAAAGCTGAGGTCGAGAGCAAAGTTTCGGACGATACCGAATCTACAATCAGCGAGTCAACTGTATTTGGACGAATGGTGTCGGCCCTCTTGGGATTGTTGAACTCAGTTATTTATCGTGGTCAAGTTCGGGTACAAGCGACACCCCAGCCGTTTCCTTCCGAGAAGTTTTGTATTGGGGATGATTATGAGCAATGGGAACGACAAGCCCGGTGGTACGTAGACCGGTTTCTCGAAAATGAAAGGGCCGCTGCACTTTCTAGCCCCCGGAGCAACGATGCTTATCACATTGCAGCTTCGAAAAATATTATTGGATATGTGGTGGACGGAACAACGTTTGCCCAATTGAAGGAAGCCCTGCAACCGTCCTTACATGAGTGGGAATACGGTCGACAATTCCACGCCCGCATTCAATGAAACAGGGAACAGTTCACCATATTTGTTGCTGCGCTGCGGAAACTTGCTATACTGGCGTACCCACATGCCGACAAGGCCAGTCGTGAGGAGAAGATCTTTCTTCAGGCTCTTCAAGGCACAACTAACATTGACATCAAGAAGGATTTCCTGGAGAAGCCACCTGCCACTTTGCAAGAAGCTGTGAACTCCGCCACTCGCCGAGAGAAAATACTGCCTGTGATCGCTCGGGAGGAACCACGGCGAGCATCGGACTACACTGAATTGGTATCGGTTGTTCGGCCTCGTGATCAACAACGGAGAGGTCAAAGCAATTTTTCTGACCATCGATCAATCCAGCGGAATAATGTTCCTCACTTTATCAGGGAATCGCCTAGAGGACCCCGAATGGATTGCCCCTATTGCCACAGATTCGGAAGATTAGCCTACAGTTGCGGACATAACCGGCGGGGTGAGTCTCAATGTTCGTTTAAGGTTCCTGCTGTTACGTTCGCCAATGCCATCTCAGCTCCTGTTGTGTCAGGTTTGGTGTGGTCTAAGCGTGTTGGTATGCTAATTGACACTGGGGCTACATGTTCTCTGGTCCATATACGTGTTGTACCGAGAGGTGTCTCTATACATACCGACAGATCTGTCAGTCTGATAGCAGCCAATGTTTCTTCTGTCAACCCAGTAAGCTGGACTACTGCTACTGTATCGCTAGGCGGCATTTCTACCAGTCACCGCTTGCTCATAGTCGGTACACTACCATGGGATGTGATACTTGGGGTTGACTTTCTTTTTGATCACGATGCGAGAATCGACCTTGTCAACAAAACACTCGAAATCGGTAAGCAGATAATGTCATTTGATTCGACTGTTGCTTGCACGTCATCATGTATGGTAGAAGACACACCCGTGCAGAAACTTATTCGTAACGTTCCTGCGGACATCCCATACTCAGCCCTCGATAAATTAAAGGAAATTTTGAACACTTATCAGCATGCTTTTGCGTGGACAGAGGGTGATCTCGGTCGGTGCAGTTTCATGCTACACCGCGTTGATACGGGCAATGCACAACCGATTCGCCAAGCGGCCAGGCGCGTACCAGTGCACTTTCAGGAGGAAATGAAATGTATGATCGAAGAAATGCTTAGACAGGACATTATCCCACCGTCCAATGCCCCGTGGGCCTCTCCCATAGTTTTGGTGAAGAAAAAGAGTGGCGACTTACACCTGTGTGTCGACTACCGGCAATCAAACGTCATCACACGGAAAGATTCGTTCCCTTTGCCCCGAATAGACGACACCGTGGATGCTCTCGCAGGTTCGCACTGGTTCACTACGTTAGATTTAGCTTCTGGTTATTGGCAAGTAGAGCTACATCCGGACGATCGATGTAAATCAGCATTTGTTTTTCCATCTGCTTTGTATGAGTTCCAGACGATGCTCTTCGGGCTCACGAACGCCCCAGCTACGTTCCAGCGACTGATGCACACAGCATTGTCAGGAATGATACCCGGGTGTTGTCTAGTTTACCAGGATGACATCATTGTCCACGGAAGGACGGTAGCTGAGCACAATCACCATCTGGGTTTAGTGTTGAATCGCCTGATACAATTAGGATTAAAACTCAAACCCTCTAAATGTCAATTTCTAACAAAAGAAGTAGCTCATTTAGGCCACATCGTTTCTGGTAATGGAGTACGCTGCGGTCCAGAAAAAGTTGAGCGTGTCCGTTCTTGGCCCATCCCAAAGAATACCGATGAAGCACGCAGCTTTCTTGGGCTCGCTTCTTATTATCGGCGCTTTGTATAGCACCGTTGCACGAAATCCTGAAAGCAAACCAAGACTTCGCATGGGGGGAAGCTCAGCAAAAAGCATTTGAATGTCTTCGCAATTCGTTGTGTGAAGCACCGGTACTGGCCTTTTCAGATATGCGTCTATCTGCGGGAAGCTTTATATTGGATACAGACGCCAGTAACACAGGCATCGGAGCTGTACTTTCGCAGCGGACACCAGATGGAGAGGAACCAGTGATTACATATGCTAGTCGTAGTCCTTCACAACGTGAACGCAATTATTGTGCAACATGTAAGGAAATGCTTGCTTTGATATTTTTCATCAAACAATTTCGCCATTACCTTCTTGGCCGTAAGTTTAGCGTGCGCACCGATCATCAGTCATTGGTTTGGCTGCAAAATTTCCGAGACCCCGAAGGTCAGATTGCCCGGTGGCAAGAACAGTTACAGGAATACGACTTTGAGTGCCATCATCGGCCGGGTATAAAGCACGGGAACGCTGACGCCTTATCACGAAGACCTAACAGAAATCATGGGTCATGCCCGTCGTGCACAGCTGCGTGTGTGTCCGCCGTTATTTTCGATGAATCAGAGACCGAGGAATGGATCCGTATGCAGTCGACCGACCCAGAATTGAGCATCCTGTACAATCGCATCGTTCAAAACGGGGACCGACCAACACAACAAGAACTGGCTGGCGCCAGTTGGGAAACAAAATGCCTGTGGTCGCTATGGCCTCATTTACGAGTAATAGATGGCATCATGTATTTTCAAAACGGACCCAGTTATTTACGCAGAATAATCGTTCCAACAGTCGCGACCCAGGAAGTTATGCGACGCATACACGAGGAATTAGGTCACGCAGGACAAAACAAAATGGAGGCTGCAATCCGACGTCGTTTTTGGTGGCCTCATTTGCGACGTGATATCGCCATTTACTGCCAAGCATGCCCTGACTGTGCAAGAATCAAGAACCCTACAAATAACCGTCGTGGTCCGCTTCAGCCGATGACAGCTGGGTTTCCTAATGAGATAGTGGGCATTGACATCATCGGCCCCTTGCCAGAAACAGCACGAGGTCATCGCCATGTCTTGGTTATGGTGGATTACTTTACAAAGTGGTGCGAAGTCGTACCGCTGCGTAATGTGGACGCGTGGAGTATAGCGAAGGCTTTTTTTAGCGACTGGGTGGCAAGGTGGGGAGCACCCTATCAGTTACATTCGGACCGAGGAGCAAATTTTGAGAGTGTACTGATGAGGGAAATGTGTCACATATTCGGAATTCGGAAAACGCGCACGACGGCATATCACCCGGAAGGGAACGGTTTAGTTGAGCGCACCAACCGTACGTTGAAGATGCTGCTAAAGTCATTTTTGAATGAGGAGACGCCCCGAGAATGGGATACGAATTTACCCAAATGTATGT